GTTTAAAGGTACGTAAAGTGTTTATTACTTGTTGTATTGAGTTTTGTTAAAAAAGAGTTATTCGTTAAATTATTTCAACACACAACTAACACACAAATATTATTGAATTATACAAGTTTTCTATGCATTCCGTTAGTTTGAAATATTTATGTAACTGAACAAATTTTACAAATTATAACAGTTATTCATATTATTTACTAAGCGTAGGTACGTTTGTGTCTACAAAGCGTCGTTTCGTCGTGTGTTGCAAGTTAACACGAGCAGCGCGCCGCCATTTCGTGCGCACGCATTGAAAACTGCTGCTACACTTCCGACGCCGACACTTCGATTTTACCAGGCATTCGTCTAAACGTAGAGATTTACATGTGTGTTGTCTTAGAAAGTAAGGTACAACTAATATAATAATTTCATATAAAAAATCTTTAGCGCCAGTCTTACAATATTTGTTGAGATTTCCTTTTTCGGCGTGGTGTTCCGTACTTTATCTAACCTCAACAAATAATACGTCGGGTGGGGCGTAATTTGGGTACTTTTTTTACTATTTTATATATATATATATACAATTATTGGTTAACTTTTATATAATTTTGGGAGTTCGAAGCGTAATAAATATTATTGAAATGATTTTATTTTTAATCTTTAATTTATGTTTACGTAATTTACATTTCAATTTGAATTTTATACTAATGGTTTAAAAAATATTGTTTTTTTTTCTATAAAAATGGTGTCGTTGTCGATTTAAACAACAACAACGCTAGCACATTAGATTCATTTAATTGGTTTGCTATACACATCAATATTTTTTAAATATTTTAGTTTTTTTGTTAGAAATTGTTGAATAAGTGTTTTTGTATTTACAAGTGGTTTGAAAATTTAACAAAATGTATGGTTAAAAATAAATAAAAACGTTATAAAGAATATTATTTTAAAATATTATTAAAAACACTTTAAATGTATCGTCTAATTAAACAAACTAAAGTGTTAAAGCGTGTTAATGATTTTAGTACAAAAAATATGATTTAAGTGAAAGCTTTAAAAAAGTTAAGCTTTCATCTTTTAATAACTAATTACTCAGGAAATAAACATATTATTTTTTTTTAATGCTGAAATCTTTGTGAGAATATAAATATACATGTTTTAAAGCTGTAAAAGCTTTAAAAGCTCAAAAAGTTTTAAGCAGCTAAACTTTCATCTTTCAATTAAAAAACTATATACAACTTCATTTTTCAGTAAAATAAAAAAACAAAATATAATTATTTTAAAGCAAGTGAAAGCTTAAAAGCTATAAGAGTTTATTTATGAGAAAACAATACTATATATTTGTTTGAAAACAAGTGAAAGCTTTAAAAGCAATATAAAAAGCTTTCACACTTAGTGATCATTACAAAATGATGGACTGAAAAAATACATTTTTTTTTTTCGAAAACAAAGTAACGCAAACGCATTCTTTTCTAAGATGTGAGTTTGCTTTATACTTCATTAAGGGGAAAAGTTTCGAAAAGACACTTTTAAGGTGGTTAAGTTTTTAGTTTAAAAATGTTTAGGTATTTTATTTCAAAAACGACTTATAATAATTTTTTTCTCAAAACTGGTAGTATTTTGGTTAAATTCATATTATATTTAGGAGTTAGTCGGTTTGAATTTCGGGATTGTAGTTTAGAAAGAATTTTTTTCAAAGAAATTTACTGGTTCAATAACTTTATATAGTCAACGATTTTTTTCAGAAGATTTGGAACAATTCGGAATTTGTTTTGGTGTATGTAAGTGAACTGAATAATTATAATTTTGAAATTGAGCTTAAGTGACAACATCAAGATGTTTAGAATTGTTTTTTCAAACTTTAGTTTAATAGAAAAATTTGAACAAGAACTCGCTCGATAAGACATTTAGAGGTATTATATGAACTGTGTGTTTAGTTTAGAAACATTTGGTATATTATTTTGTTTAGAAAGGGTATTTAGAAGATTTTGAGAACGCGTTAACATTTTGCCAAGAATAAAAATATATTTTTAATACTTTTTTATAATTTTAAACTGTTTTTCTAAGAATCAAAATATATATTTATCTTTTATTGTAATTTGAAACTTTTTTTTTTTGATAATTTTAAGGTTTTATTGACTTTGAATAGAGTTGAAATATTGAAAAATAATTTTTTTAATGAATTTTGTGAAATTTAATATTTTTTAAGTAACTTTGGATTAGAATAGTAGGAATTTATTAGTGAACTGACAAGCCGTTTATAACGGAAATAAATTCAAAAATAGTTTTTTTGTATTTTTTTTTGGGAGGATGCGACTTTGTCAATGCTTTTAAGTTAAGGTTTTGATTTGGAAAATGCAAATAGACACTTAAAATGGTGGTTTTTTTATCTATCTTTCAAGAAACCGATTCAGCTACACTCATAAAAGTGAAGCTACGTTCACTTGGTATTAAATTGTTTGTTTTAGTTCTAAACTTCATTTTGTTTGTTAGAAAACAAATATATAAGTGATTATTGTAAGTTTTGGGGTTTAGAAATTTCAAAATTATGTATATAACGTCTATTTTAAAATATATTTTCAAGCTATAAACTAAAATAATATTAGAAAGCTGGTTATGGTTTAGAATTTGAAGAAATGCGGAAAAGGTAGAAGCCAGTAGACGCATATAATATAATAGTGTTGAAACTAGAAACTGAGTTTGAAAAAATTTAAATTTCACTAGTTTCTTCCTACATTGTTCTACTGTTCAAAGCAAAGTGTGGGATTTTCGAAAAAATTATACTTTTGTCAAGTTAAAGAATATATATTTTTGTTTAGCTAAATATACATATATTTATAATAGTGAAAATAAAATATGTATATATATATATGTGAATATAAAATTTAACTTAAAAAAAAATAATTTACTGAAGTTTTTGAAAAGTTTTGGAATACAATAAAAGTATGCATACTATCGATAAATTTATCGTTAAAGAGGAGACTATCAACACTTCACTAAACTTGCTTCCGCACCAACCACCGAACACCATGTTTCAACAATTACCTTCACACTCACACTACCCGCATTAAAAATTATAGAAATGAAAAAGTCCTTCATTTTATATTTTTGTTGTTTTCATTAACTTATGTAACGTGGAAAAGTTTTTATTATATTCTCAATAAAAAAGTTTCAGAATTTATAATCACTACAAACATTGGTTTTTGTTTTGTATAAAAAGTATAAAAAAATCATTAATGTTAAAAATAAAAACGATTATTGTATGTATGTGTGTGTTGCAATGTACTAGCAAAAGACTCTGTACAAAATTAACAGCTCATAGCTTTTGCAGTTGTTTTTTTTGCTTGATTTTGTAATAATAATTTTGCTTTTGTATTTGTTTTTGCAATTAACGCCTAACATATTTGCTATTTGTTTTTGTTTTTCTTTTTTTTAGCATAATTATTTTTGGTTTTTATAGGTAAGTGTAGGTTATGTGTTATAATAATAACATTTAGTAATAATACAATTTAAAATATTTATAATAATAATAGTAATAGCAATAAAAAACGTTTTTATACACAGTAACAAATTTAATTGAATTAGAAAAATATGAAAAAATATATATTTTTATATAATGTCTATATATGTATATATGCATATGTATATTAATTTGCATTACGAAATGTACTTTTTAACATTATTTATAATAATCTATGCAAAACAATTACATTGCACTAAAAAATTCAACTAATTAGAAAATTAAAAAAAAAATTTATCTACAAACATTTTAGACAAATAATAGGTAGTTTTGGTGAAACATTATATGTGTTTATATGTATATATAATATGTATTGCACAATTGTTAGTTTACATATTTTTGTTGTTGCACACTCGCATGCGCAAACGCTTAAGGTCGGACACCGTCGAAGTGTTGTAGGTACATTTGCTAAATAAACGCTGCTGGCGCACACGAAACTTGAAAGCGGTGTTGCTTATTGTTGTTGTTGTAATATATACACATACAGCTATGGCATATTGATTGTTACTGACTTTAAGTCGCTTTTTGTACGCTCTTTCTTACAAGTAGTGTTGCTTTACAGCCTTGTCTGCCACTTTACTCCTGCTCCTTACTCCTTCTTTTTCTTTGATATACCGTTAGTTTGCTTGCTTCTGCGTGACCAGCAGCGTGCGTGCGCTTTTGTGTGTGTGCCTCATGCATGTGTACTTAAGCTTTTGCATCGGCACTTAAGTTTTTGCTGAAGCTTCTACAATAATTCGCCGGTTTAGCTTACATAACTGTTGTTTTCACTAGATTTGCTTTCATTTCACTTTGGTTTTTTTTTTTTGGTTTTTTTTTGTTTGTTTTTTAGTTACAATAATAGCAATAATGTTGATAATAATCATAATAATAATAATGTAATATAATATAATAATAATAGTAATAAGTAGTTATACAATAATATAGCATTATAAAACATTTAACATTCTCATATTTTCATATATATATTTTGTTTTGTTTTCTCTTACGTAATACATACAACATTTGAATATTAGAAAAATGTGTGGGTATAAAAAACAGCAAAACGATTTTCACTTTTTGTTTGACTAATTTTAAAACTTATTAATAATAAGACTTTATCTAGTTCGTATCATTTACTATATGTATTTGCCAACTGCGCCTTAGCTACATGCCCGGCTACACCCACTTCCGCTTGCGTTTTTATTTCCGCTTCCGCTTTTGTCCCGTTTACAACTAGTTAATAAAAAAACGACTTGAGAAATTTGTATACTATGCTGATAGTGTTACTTTAGGTTAGGTTTTCTTTTCTTTGTTGTTGTTTTTTTCTTTATAAATAGCTAAATGATTTATAAAAACAACGCGCTGCAGCATTTCTCTTGTCCGTCCGTCGGTTTCGCTAGTACATACATAATTACAAAACTTCGTGCCTTTTGCTGCGCTGCTTGCAAAGCGCCGATTATACAATATGTTTATATATTATATGTGGTTGTAGTTTGTTATTTTTATGCTTTTTTTGCATTTTTGTTTTTGTTGTTGCAGTTATATTGCACTGTTTTTGTTGCACATGCTGTTTGCCAGCATTGCTTAAATATATTTATATGTACGTACGTATGTATGTGTGTTTTGTTTTTGTTATTTGCATATTTTTGTTGTAATAATTACAGTTACACTAGCAGAATTTCTCTATTTATAACTTTGAATTTTTTCTATAATTTTTCTTTAAAAAAGTTTACGCTTTGCACTGTCTTCTTGCTACAGCTCCCTCTCCTTATTTTTGTTTTCACATTAGCTATGTTGTTTTTGTAATACATACAATATACATACATATATATTTATATTAATTTTTGTTTTTGCTTTTGCAGTGTTTTTTGCTTCTAAAAAAATAAGCATTTAAAAAAATAATTCTATGCTTGCCTACTGCAGCGGCGCTATGCGCTTATGCAAGGCCCACGCTGCTACTATCCAACGGTAAAAAAATGTGAAAAAACCATAAAATATATTACAAACATCTTAGTTGGCCACCAACAGTTGCTGGTAGGGACCGGCTGCATTGGAATAGAACGAGTTGAGACCATCGATCAGTTTCGAGTTGTTTGAGTCTTGTTGTTGTTGTTGCTGTTGATTGCTGCTATTGGCCGCCGCGGCGGCGGCAGCACTGGCAGCGACGGCAGCAGCGGCTGCGGCAGCCAATGGTGACGGACTGACGGCTGTTGGTGTTGTTGCATTGGCAGTGCTGTTGACTGCGTTGTTGGTGATGGTGTTTGTTGTTTCTGCAACGCTGCTGCCATTCGACACAGTCACAGTTATGCCGTTATTGCTATTGTTATTGCCGTTGCTGTTGTTGTCGGCGCCGTTCTTCTCAACCACATGTTTGCTGTTGCCATTCATGTGTTGTTGCTGCTGCTGTGCCGACATCGGTGCGCCCACAACGCCGGGTGGTGGTGCCATTTGCGATTGCTGTTGTTGTTGCTGCTGCTGATGAGCAGCCGCCACCACAGCAGCTTGCTGCAAATGCTGATTGCCACCCAGGCCGTAGAAGCCATGTGGATCCAGGTAGTTGTTGAATTTGCCGTGACCGCCGTTGGCTGGATTGGCAGCGCCGCCGCCGTAGAGCGCGTTATTCTCGGCGGCGTGGAAATGCGTGTCGAAGACATTTCGATGTCCATTGAATTGTGGATACATGCCCATGGTGGCCATGTTGGGGAAGTAGAAGGGATCGACTGTGGCGCCATTCTGGCCTAGGCCCAGCGAAAGTGGATTCGGCGAGAGTGAACGTGCTGGCGAGACGGGTCCGATGGGACCGAAATGATTCGGTGGTTGCGCCAAGTTCGGGCCGCCATGGCCGCCGTGATGTAGTTGCTGTTGCTGTTGTTGCATGGCACGTTGTTTAATGTAGTTGGAGAACTCAGTGGGCGACATGCGATACGAACTGCTGCTGGTGAGTAAGGAGCGAACAAAAGAATGAAACCGTTACTCTCTTGTATAAGTATGTGTGTGTGAGTGTACTAACCTATTGGTACGCTTGGAACTGGTTTTCAATTTGGTGCTACCGAATTTGGTCTGAGCAAAAGTGGCTGTTGTGAATGTTAGTGGCGCTTGTGTGCGCTGCATGAACGAACCGTTTGCGGCTGCAGCCGGATTGGGACTACCTTTGTAGGTGGGCGAATTGGAGGAGGCCGAATGTGGCGATGAGCCAGCATGCGGTGAAGTCTTTGGACTCAAACTCAAGTTGTTCATGCTTGTATTGACCGCATCGATGGGACGAAAGCATTGCGCTTCAGGATTGAAGGTCTTATTGACCTCACGATCGGCCGATGTGTTGTCTTCATGATTGTCACTATTTTCCGAGTAGAGAATCTGTGCAGACAATAAACAGTTATTAAATAAGCTGAAAACAAAACTATGAAATAACTTACCTTCACAGCACCCTTTTCGCCAATGCGATACGAGACCTCGCCGGGATCAACCCAAACTGACAGCTCAGCTGGTAAATTTTCTAAAATATCAGCAATAGGTACACCGCTCTCGCGCGCAGCACGCTCCAAAACCGAATCAATTGGATCGCCTGTTTTCAAGCAACGGAATGCCGATCCCTGAATTGTGGATTGAAACATTAGGTATTAGTAAAACTAGGAGTCATTAATTAAATATTAGTACAATCTATTTTTTTTAGTATTCATCTATTTCTAAAATCTAGAATCCTCTAAAAAGTAGTGTGCTGGTCAAAAGTTTATCATTGCTTAAGGTCCGGTGTTTGGAGAGTAGCTTGGGCATATAATTTCAAGCTATTTGATACTTGTCATAAAAGTTTGGACTTTATCATGAATCCTTGAACGTGTCTTCTACATAGAATCAACTCTGACTTACACATTAGGTCCGAGAAATGATTAACTGCCTCTCAGTGATTTGTTTGGAACACATGTCTTCCGAAAATTCAGCGAAAATCGTAATGAAAAGAAAAAACTGACTCAAACGGAAACTGTTTTCTAGTTAACCCGAAAAAAAATAATTATGAAAAAAATGTATATGACACTACCAAAATCTTTTCCACGGATGAGTATTCTCAGAGTATTCGTGGATTTAAATCTGTAGCTATAGAGTATTTTGTGATTTGCATTGCGACCTGAGACCTATTGTGCTCTGTACCAATGGGCTTAACTTTATAATAAAAAGTTACTACAACATTTTGACTGGGTCTTTAGGTGCTTCTAACCAGTCCTCCACTAGGTATAGCAGTTTTCTTTACTGAGAAGAACTGTAGAGTCCATACACAGTTATGGTAGTATGATTGATAAATAGGTTAATTTCTAATTCGTTCCTTTGTTTACTTGGCCGGTTGCTCGAACTTTTTCTCTGACTTAATGTTACCTTTGCAACATGAAGCTTTAAGCCATTCTTGAGTAATTAAATGGCGAAAACTCTCTCGGTTCTTTGCTATTACCTGCTGAGAACCAATCCCTATCATATATGGATATTTGTTTGAAACTAGGAATAGCGTCCAATATGAACATTACTATTGTATTATATCCAGGCAAGGTGTTACAATGATAGATACAAGATTAGGGTCATAAATAACACGAACTGTGAAATTTATGGCAATGTAAGCTCTATTTCGAACATTTTTGGCCAAGCTTTATTGTTGTTGTGACAATTAGAACTGTTCCTGCATCCCAGCACGAGCTTTCTAATTCAGCTTTCAAGAATGTCCTTACAAGTACTTTACATCTAGATAGTAATTTCTACGCAATAATTAAGTACCCACCTTGAAGGGTTTCTCCGGATACCAGTGACCTTGGAACTTATCCTTCAACGCCTTCTCGAGCTCTTCGCCGAAAATGTTTACGCGTCGCCTTGGTAGTTTATTATAAAGATACGAAATCACGAAATTTAACGCCACCTGAATTTCTATATGCATTTTGTTGCTGTTGCTGTTACTGTTGATGTGCTGCTTATTGCTGTTGTTATTGTTGTTGCGACTGCTTGGTGATTTATTTTATGTATGTTTGTATTACAATGTATGCTCAATCGTAATTGCCGTTGGTGCAGACGCACTTTATTTTATTATATTTGTTTAATTGCAGGTTGTTGGTATGTATGGCTGTATGCAAGTAGATGGCGCTGTCACCGTTTTAAAATTGCGCTGTTTGTTATTGTTGTTGCCGTTTTTATAGCAATGTTAATATATTGATTTGTTGTTGCCTTTGTTATCGAATACTGTCGCGTCGTGATAATTTAATTATAACGAACGTGTTGTTGCAGCTAATATTATTATTGTTGTTGTTGTTGCTATGGGTCGCAGGTTTATTTCAATTGTCTGGCTGGTCCTTTGCCACTGCCTTTTGTTCGCAAGCCGATACTATTTGCTTATTTTTTATGCTTGTTGTTGCTGCTGTTGTTGTTGTTGGGTGCTGTTAATGCAAATTTAATCGCTCGCGTTTGGTGGCTGCACGTTTTTCAAACTATTTAATGGTTGTTATTGCTATTTGCTTTTGTTTTGGTAATTTCTTATAAATTTGTAATTTCGTATTCCGAAATGACTTGACTTTTGTCTGTGGTCGTCTGTCTGTCTTTGTTTATGTTTGTGGTTGTCGTCTGGGGGTTTTTAAGTTTAAGCGCATTCTTATTGTTGTTGTCGCGTATTATGTAGTTGTTGTTGTAGTATATATTAAGCTTGCTTTCTTGAGTTTACTTTATAACTGTTTGAGAATTCTTTGTATACGTTGTATTTTTGTTGTTTTTTGGTTTTTCAAATTTTGGTTTACTTATTTCTTGTATTTGCTATTGCTGTGTAACTCATCGAAGTATTCCGGGAGCTTTGTCGTTGTTTGTGTAGCTGTGTAATTTCTTCTTCACGTTAATAGCTTCGCATTTATTTGTTTTGGAGATTTGTCTTGGCTACCTGTAACAAAAAATTTATAAAATATTAAATTTTACCCTAAAAAAATAATATTTCTGAGAGCTTTCATTAGCTTAAATTTTTTTAATTTTTGAGAGAAAATATTTATTTATGTTATAATCAAATAAATCATATTTGTAAAAGCTTTCATAAGATAAGAGCTTTAACCTTTATTAGAATGAATTTTTTGCAATTTTATAGAGAAAATATTAGTTTTTACTCTAAGGTAAAACAAGCTCTCAAGCTTTTACCTTTTTTGCCATTTTGAAGGATACTATAAACAATTAGTTTTTGAGAATAAATTTTTTAGATCTTTTATAAGCTCAGAGCTTTTATTTTTTGTAGATGCATTTTTTGTTGCAATTTTGGAGAGAAAATGTTAAATTTTACTATAAAACTAAAACTTATATTTTTGAAATCTTTTATTAGCTCAGAGGTTTCCATGTTTTCATGTAAATTTTCTGCCATATTTTAGGGATATTATAAAAAATTAATCTTAACGGCTTTAATTAGCTTAGAGCTTTCACCTTTTGTATATGAATTTTGTTAGCAATTCTTGAGAGAAAATGTTAGTTTATCCCATAAAACAAAATATATGTTTTTGAGAGCTTTCCTTAGTACAGAGCTTTCGCTGTTTCCATATGAATTGTTTGCCTTTTTTGGGGGGATATTATATAAAATATATTTTTTTGTGAGCTTGCATTAGCTTTGAGTTTTCAGGTTTTTATTAGCTCAGAGCTACCATTATAATGTTTTCTACTATTTTGTTAGAATATTTTCAAGATTTCGCTTTGATATAATTTTTTTGGGCGTTTTTGCGTTAAGGCCAACAAAAAAGGAAAAATGCTGCAACGTCTTAAATACAGTTTTATTTGTTTTGTTTTTTGTTATTGTTGCTGTTGCTTTTAGGTAGCACGAATGCCCGTGACAGCATGCTAAACAGCTGTCGTAAATCTCTGCGCCGCATTGCTTTGACTGTCCGCTGCAGCAGCAAACGCATCAGCACAACAAAAACTACGCGTGTGTTGTTGTTGTTCGAAATTATTTAGCAAATTTTTCATAGTGCAGTGTCAGACATTTTTCGAAGGTGTAAATTTTCGGTTTTATTTATTGCTATGATTTTTATTTATGTGCGCCATGCTCTTGACTCAATTCTCGCCAGCCAAAAAAAACAAACAAGTTGAATTGAAAAATAATTGCGCTTTTGTAACCTTAGTCGCAGGTTTTTTCCCTTTGCCTTTATTGTGGAGAGCTTAAGCTTTTTATTGCCGTATTATTTGCTTAATCTATAATTATCCACATTTTAATGTGATAGCTTTATATATGAAATTTTCGCAAGTTTTTTGTGGTTTCACGTGACAACAAATTCATCAAAATGAGTCAATGAAATTAATAGAAACAACTGAGTTAGTGCAAAGTATTAATTTTTCGGAACATGTGACCATGAGCCTTTTAAGTAAGATAAAATGAACTCAATTATACTTCACAGAGAAATTAACTTTTATTAAAAATTTAATTTTCTATAAACTTTGTAAACATTAACTACGTTGACTGATGGAAAGCTTTTAATTAGTTTCAACTTCAAATTCCCCGAAAGCTGTTTTCAAATGAAATTTTTTTAAATTTTTCTCTAAGATTGATATTGGGCTGATAATGACTTATATGGCATAATAATAAATAACTGATTTCTGAAAACACTTATGTTGATATTTTGGGAGTCCCATTAATACTAACCCCTTTTGAGCTTTAGGTTCTAAAATTTAGGATTTTCAGTCCAATAATGAAAATTGAAAAAATAGTGTCACAGTGTCTTACTTTAAGAAAATTTAAGATCAAAGTTGCCATTAATAATGCACTTTTTTAATTTAAAAAAATATGATATTTTTTTAAACGAAATTATTGTGATATTACTATTTCAATGCAACAATAGAAATTGATATAATATAATTTGGAATGCCAAAGTTTTGTATGACTTTCCGGATGACTTTGAATTTTTTAATTGTATTGTAATATAATAAATTGTTTTAAGAGCTTTCATAAGCGGAGCTTTCATTGTCAGTATAAATGAAATTCTTAGCAATTTTTGAAAGTATATGTTTTGATAATGCGTTCAAACCATATTTTAGTTTATCTATAATTTGTGTTTTTTACGTTTCACACACGTTAGAGGATTATGAAATTTTTTAAAGTTTAAAATAAATATGCTGTGCAAACTTTCATTGGCTGGCACTGGTGATTTCACTTTAACAATGTGGGGTGTGCTTTGTGTGAAACCTTAAGGCCTTATTAAAAATCTCGCAAAAGATTTATCAAATTTTAAATATCAATAAAAGCTGCCGAGCTTTTGAAGTAAAAACGAAGTTATTGTAAATTAAAATCAATTTAATTATCTAAACATCTTTTTTAATAAAACTCATGCCAACAAAATAAAATGTTTAATAGCAAAGTAATTATAAGAATAACATGAACAACAAATTAATTATGATTGATGACTAATTAATTATGACAACAGTTAATATTTGTAAAATTTTTTGGTTTATTGACTTCGAATTCGCAATATTTTTTTTTGTCACACATATTTTTCTATTTTTAAATTCAATTCTAAGGCTTTTTGAGACCGCATGAAATTAAAGCTGAATTAAAACACAATGAAACAATGTCATTAGAATAGCAAAAGCTCAATGCCTTTCAGAAAAATCGCTTAAACCGAAAGTTATGTAATAGCATTTCAGTCACTTTGCTGCTTTCGACGAGTTGCGCAAATTCTATTTTCTCATACTTTAACCGCATTATCACAAATGCTTTGCTGTAAAAGTTATGGCAACCACTTAATTTCTCGATACATTTGCTCCGATTTCACTTTCGCTTCGAAAATTTGCTAAAGTGCTTCACAGCAACAACAACACCGACAACAAGTCCTTGTAAAATGTAATCAAATACTTTTTGTGAATTATATTTGCCGCTGTGTGTGTGTGTGCGTATGTCACATATCACATTTCCACTCACACCATTGCAATGACATAAAGAGAATTTATAAAATATCTAAGGCTTAAAAATTCCATAATATTTTATTTCAGCCCAACGCACACATAAATTGACACTAAGAATATATGCATGTATGTAAATGTGTTTCGCATGTGTGTGTGGCTGTGTATAAATAACTGTGTCTTGCTCCATTTAGATTTGCTGTCGCAGATATGTTGCGAGTAAATGATTGCAAGGCGTCTAAGTAAAAATTTATGTACACACTATGTATATGTGCATATATATACATATGCATGTGTATGTGTGTGTTGTTATGCATGTGTAAATGCTCACATATGTGTTACTGTAAAGTAATATTTTAACAAGGATTGGTAGTCATGTCAACAGACACACTTTGACTCCAGTCACTGCGTATAACCCCCGTGTTGTTATTGTTGTTTACCACATGCATATATCTCTGCTGCCTCATTCGTAACTTGCGTTATTGCTGACTTGATTTTATTTAAAGTAAATACTACAATACAACGATTTTCGTCGCCAAATCGACTCAATGGCGTGGAAAGAAAATTGTCAGCGCAAAATGGGTGTGAGGGAGGAAGGCAGGGTGAGGCGTTTAACCCTCGAAAGCTGTCACCACAATGTCTATGGCTGGTTTGGAGCCGTACGGTGTACTTAAGTGTTGGTAAAGCATATGTGTGAGCAATTGTATGTATGTGTGTGTGTATTTCTATGTATTTTTCTCTTTCGACATTTGTAGTCATGTATTTTGTGCATGATTATGCCTAAGCACATGTGTCATTTATTTATTGTAACTTTTTGCATATCCAAAGCCTTAATTTCATTACAATGAGCGAACGGGGATTATTCAGGCAGAGCACATATAAAAGTTTTGCGTCAATTCTAAATTCGCTAAATGGTTTTTTGCTGAGAAAATTGGCTGCATTGCTGTTGAAAGCCTTTATGACCCAAGAAATGATAAATTTCCGTTCAGTTTTGTGGCCGAAAAAAGAGAATTTGCATAATCTGGCTTACGGGACTTTTGTGTTTGATTAAAGTTTAGAGATAGCAGCAGTTTCCAAAATGCAAATAAAAATGTATGCATGTGTGAGGATAAATATTGCAGAGCATTTCTTAAGATCCCTATGGCATAATTTTCATTGCCATTAGGCAAATGAGTGTTATTTTCATTTTAGTGCAAATCATATTCCATAAATCACTGCTGCGATTTGCATATTTTTTTGTTGAAAATGTTTGAACATGAAACTACAATAATACAAAAGAACTTTAGTTCATACAGACCGATGAGACCAAAAAATACTAGTTTCAGTTAAGATTTAGTATTCAACTGCTCTTTTTGTAGAAAATAGTAACTAGACCGAAAGGGACTAGTATGTCACTAGATTATTTAAATAGGATCGAATTAGTGAGCAAAATTTTAGTTAGAGCTAGAATTTTAGAACCAAAAATGAACTGGTCCTAAGAATATCGGTTGAGTACTAAAACAGTTCGACAGCAAATAAACCTGACCTCATGAGTTTTCATTACTACGAATTCGAGCAAAATGGCTTAACATCACATTTTTCTGGAAATAATTTTAAACTTAACATAAGTTCCAAAATCCTACTTCTAATCGAAATTAATTTCAATTTCAGTTACAAAATAGTTTCGAATTTCATTTTTAAAAAGTTTTTATTTCGAAAGATTTTCAATTTCGCTTAGTTCGCCAACTCTTTAAAAAACCATTAGAATCATTAATTTTCCTCATTTTTGAATAACTGCCAGTATGTCAATGTAGTATTTTGTAAAAATTGGCGTTTAAACGAGTATTACGTAGCGTAATAGAAAAAAATCGTATGTCATAAGAGCTGCCAACAATATTTGTGCAGTGACTCGGGCCATCAACTCGCATCGAAATAAAATTTGGCACTCAAAGTAATGAAAATCATTGTCAGGTTGTTAGGTCATAGTCACGTTAAAGCGACGCTCAAATTTAGCACATTATATTACACATAAAGAAA